TCCTGCTAGTGAAGGCAGAGGGCTGGACTCAATGGCCTTTCAGGGTCCCTTCCAGCTCTAGGAGATAGGATATCTCCATTTTAATAAAAAAAATAAAAAAAATCCACTTGGTCACCGCTATAGAAATGGGCTGACATCACTGCTGAAATGTAGTCTTCCCTTTGCCTGCCTCACAGGTCCCTTGAACGGTTCATAGAGCAAGACTATATCATCTAACTGTTATATACCATTTTTCATCAATAGATCTCAAAGGCACTTTATAAAGGAAGGTGAGCATCATTATCCCCATTATACAGATGAGAAAACTGGGACACAGAGGGGTAATGACTTACCCAAGGTCACCCAGCAGACCAATGACTGAGGCTAGAATAGAACATAGGTCTTCTGAGTCCTAGTTTAGTGCTCTAGCTACTAGGCCAACATTAGCAGTCTTCGTTTTTCACTGGAAAGTAATTAAGCTAGTATACCAGGTATGTGTGGTCCACACTGTGATAAATGTATAACATTCTTTTATTTGTGCTGACAACTAATGGCTTTGACCCAATCCATAATGCCTAATGGAAATTCACCCAATAGTAGAAAAATCAGGTAAGCATATACTGTAGAGTTTATATAGGGATTTAAACAAGAGTTGTGCTGCAATAAGGTAATAGTGGAGAATGATGCGAACTCCAAAACCAGCTACTATAAAAAAATGTAATGAGGAAAAAAGAGATTGTTGGATGTTTATCTCCTGTAAAGAATAAACCTGCCAATAAACTCCATGGTGACCCAACTACTATGTCAAGGAACTGAATTCATGATAACAAGCAATGACTACAAAGTACGCAATACTTTTCTAAAATGATTCATCAGTTTCAATTCATCAGCTTAATAAGAGCTTTCCCACGAGGCATTGCTGGTGTCTAAATTACTGACAAGGTCCAGCTGGGTGTATTGCAGCAGCCAACCGCACTGGCATTTGTAAGTCTGGGTTAGGGAAGAATACAAAGATTCCCACTGTACATGCCAATGGCACATGTTGGAGAGGGAGAAACATCTGAGAAACAGGGGTATGTTTGTACTAAGGAACCACAGTTTATTGGCCAATAACATATTGCCACAATTACTGGAGCTTAACAGAAAGCTGTTCATTCCATCCATGGTTGAGAAAACGATGTCACTGAAACAGTTCCTACAATGGGAGAGGAACTGGGTAGTGAAATGGGGTAGGAAAAGAAGCTCAGAAAAAATGAGGAAATGGCATTGCAGCCTGTAGCTGCGTGCTTGGGCAAGAGATTACACTATGAAAAATGTGTCATCTCTTTCCACATTGCTTTGATTTATTCAGTTAGCCAGCACCAATAGTACTAGGGAGTGCCCCGAGCTGCAACAAATGAAGATGCCAGTAACAAGACAGAAGTAAACAAAAATTAAAAGATTTCTGAAGGCAAATTTTCTCAGAAATATGACTAGAGAGCAAAAATAAAGCAGTAATACAAGCCAGCAGAACTACAAAAGAGTGGCATGCACTAAGTAGAACAAATTGCTGCTAAAGTTACTTCTGATCACCTGATATATGAATTAAGGTCTAGACAGGGTCAGCTCTACCAAATATGCAGACCAGGCAGTTGTCTTGGGCACCAAAATGTTTAGTGATTGTTTACTCAGTGATATGCAATTTCCATTTCGCCTAGGGCAGCAAATACTTCAAAGCTGACACTGGGTGTAGGTTTACCACTGCTCCAAGAAGCAAGTATTTTAAATTCTGTGTGATTTCCTGTGAAATTTCAAAGCTATCAAATGTGCTATAAATCCATAGATAAAGTTAATTTAAAACAATCTATACTTGATAGGCAAGAATGAGACATTTTCAATTTCAGGAGACTTGGGATAAACCCAACATAGTTCTCAGATAAAAAGATTCTACTCTCTCACTCATAATGCAAGCTGCATGTTTTTCTATGTGAGTTTAGTTACGTGTCTATGTTTTAGAAAGACATGAATGTAGATTTAATTTAGCTTGTGTGCATCCATGCTATAGACCACCAAAAAAACAACGAATGACATGCGTTTTAGGTCATTGTGAGCCACACTTGGGCTATCATTACTGTGTTGCTCTTCGGGGGTCATAGAGCTAGTCCCTTTCAGAAAACCAATTTCACATGATGCAAACGGAGAGGCAAAGCTACAGTAATTACAATAATGCCACATGCAGTGCTGTAGCTGTGTTGGCCCCAGGATATTACAGAGATAAGGTGGGTGAGGTAATATCTTTAATTGGACCAATTTCTGTTGGTTAGAGAGAAGAGCTTACAGAAGAGCTCTGTGTAAGCTCTAAAGCTTATCTCTTTCACCAACAGAAGTTGATCCAATAAAAGGTATTACCTCATCCATCTTGTCTCTCTAATAATGCCACAGACACTTCATTTCTCCTTCATATTCTTAGGGCCCAGTCCTGCTCCCAGTGAGAAGTTTTCCATTTACTTGGGAGCTGACTGGGCCCTTGGTTTGCATATAGCACATATGTTTTCTCACACACAAAAAATCTTCCTTTTGAAAAGCAACAGATGTAAAAGCTTTGGGACTAAAACTCAGAGATCCCAGGTTGTTATTGCCCTTACACTTACCATGCCCCTAAATATGCAAAACCCAGTTGCAAGGATGAGATATATAGCCAGCATTAGATCTAGTGGTCTTCTCAGGAGTCCTTTCTTCTGGACTTTCTGAACCACCTACAATACAATATAGGGTTAAGAGTAGATCATAAATTCTACATTAAATGTATTTAATTTCAAATCTGTCCCTAAAGAAAGTTAAGGTGGTGAAACACCCTGATAGGAGCCAATGGGACAACATCTGCTCTCAGCTACTGTAATGTAAATGCAGAATCACTCTATTGATTTGAGTGTATAAGCGGGAGCAGCAGCATTTCTGTATATAATGATGTAACAATGTTACAATGATATAACAGAAAGCAGAATCAGGCCCCTACCATTCAAAGTTAAAGCTAACCCACACTTTAAGAAGATTCTCTAATGGTCCACCTGAATGAGGATCAGTGTCAATCTTTATGTTGAATGGCTTATGTTTCATCAGTCAGTGACACTTTACACGGTCATTTACACAAAAATAATAAAATGGCTTCCTCATACCCACACTAGTTGCACCACTGAGTATTTTACATATGCCCATTTTATTTCTAAAAACCATAGTGCATACCCATTTACGTGGGCTCATAAGAAAATGTATTATATAATCATAAATACATATCCAATATTTACTTATCAAGTGGCTGACCAAGAGAGGAAGGATGGCCCCGTGGCTAAAGTGGTAGCCTAGGACACTGGAGACCCAGTTTCATTTCCCTATTCTGACACAGACTTCCTATGAGATGCTGGGCAAGTTGCTTCGTTATCATAAGCCTCTGTTCTCTTGCTGTAAAACTGAGATGATCCCTCCCTCAGAGGAATGTTGTGGGGGTAAATATATGAGGCATGCTGATGTAAATGGAAAAAATGGTTTGGGGCAATTGCGAGAGCTCACTCACTGCAGAGTTTTCACTCAAACCTTCATTCCAGGATGCATTTTTTTTTCACCATTATGCACTCTTGCCCAACATACAAACCAGATGCAATCTCCTTGCAATTGAGCGAACAAGTCATCTTCTTCATTTAAAAGCACTGCATTTATATGACTCACTCATTTCCACTTCCCTTTTGAATGATAATCCATGCATTGATAGGCACACAACAAAAAGACCTCCTACAAAACGGATTTCCTTATTATATATTATTGCATTACTGTCTCAAAATATGTTGTACAATGACATAATTATAAATATTCATGTTCAAATGACAGACCAGAAGAAAGTATTTTCCAGGCAAAACTCCTAAGCAAGGACTACAGAATTTGGCTCATAGTTTAACAAAAATTAAAAACACTTCCTATATGTAGGGCTCTTTACTTCATAAAATGGTTAAAACGAGTAAATTTTCAGAAACAGATCTCTGAGGCAGTTCTGCTGTGTCCTCTTCTTGCTTCCTCATGTTAGATCAATAGGTAGGCTCATGTGAGTAAGACAAGTATGATTTAGACGTGTGTTACACTATAACAGTGTTTCCCAAACCTGGGACACCGCTTGTGTAGGGAAAGCCCCTGGCGGGCCGGGCCGGTTTGTTTACCTGCTGCGTCCGCAGGTCCGGCCGATCGCGGCTCCCACTGGCCGCGGTTCGCTGCTCCAGGCCAATGGGAGCTGCTGGAAGCGACGCGGGCCGAGAGACATACTGGCCGCCGCGGCCAGCAGCTCTCATTTGCCTGGAGCAGCGAACCGCGGCCAGTGGGAGCCGCGATCGGCTGGACCTGTGGACGCGGCAGGTAAACAAACCGGCCCGGCCCACCAGGGGCTTTCCCTACACAAGCGGTGTTCCAAGTTTGGGAAACACTGCTCTATAATATTTAAGGTATTATATATTTTATATATATATTATATAAAGCCTGCTACTATAGGAGTGTTTACAACGTCATAGGCAAAGAATGTGTTTAACCCAATAGTATTAATGGGAAAAACAAGGGAGTAATGTTACAAATACTTTTAAGATGGAACTATAAAAGAATAATTGTAAAGTCAGTGGATTGTTTCCATTTTACTACTGCGTGAAGGCTGAACTTTAAATGTATATGTTACACCTTTTTCTAAAAGGAGACAGTAACCTGACATACATATTTATGAGTGACACGAAACCACAGCCCTGTGTTATATACGGATCAGTTAGAATGATTAGCCAAGGTGACAATGAGAACAAACCTACCCAATAGAACTTGTCTGTTAAGTTTCTATAGGGATACCGAGAACTCATGCCTTTTCTGTACAGTATGTATATATTTACATAAAGGCAATGCAAATGTAAAGCTCTAAAGAAAGTAGAAAGATAGGCCAACACATTGTGCAAAGGCTTAGTGCTGGACTGAAATACCTTGTCTACTGAGTTATTGTGCCCATCTCTCTCTTTTTAATACAGCAAAGTCATACCAATGTACCCTGACATGAATTAAATGCAACAACAGCTCCTGTCAGGTCAAAGTTGATCCACTGCTGGCTTCCCTTCTGCTGAAAACAACAAACCAACTCCTCACAAGTCTTGCTGGCGCTGCTGTTTTGTATGTCAGAAGAAAGTCTGCAGGTGCAATTAGAATTTTCTCTCAATTCCCTAATCCATGCTGAGTGCCTCGTTTGGGGCACCTCCCAGACTCAGGCTCTAAGAGCTCAGAACAATCTACTAGTGTCAACAGGCTGAATGCAACAAAACCGGTCCCACCAGAATTCGTGTGCAAAGCTGAATTTATGCTTTGCCCTCCATCTCATTAACTTTTCCTGAACTTAAATTACTTGAGACTGTTCCCTGAGTTACTAGTAGTACATTTATAGACCTATCCACCAAGCCCTGTAAATACCGTATTACAGCTCAGTTTGATTCTAAACTGTGGCATAACGCCCCCATGCCTCGAAAACAACTGAAGCTTGTCTGTTATCCAAGTGTATGTATTTAACTGGTTTGTAGTAAGTCTATAACAATGAATGGCTTACGCGACACTATATAAATTGATTCCAGTAATGTTTTAATGTAAGTACTTTGTATATATTTGTACATTTTTAAGAACTATCATGCCATTTGTTTCCTAACTCCCTTATTGTCTCTGAATAATGCTAGTTCAAAAATTAAAATTGGATTTTCAAGCTGATTGTAAATATTTAAAAGATCTGCTGAAAAGGGGCCAAATCCTTGTAGGATTTAGTATGGTTAATTGTTAATTAAACAAATCAGTATTAATAATACACAACTATTTTCTGAAAACTAGATTGCATTTAGGATTGCCTAAAATATTACAATTGGTTTTATTTCATTTTCTACAGAATTTTGAAGAACACAGTTACTAAACATAAGTATGTGTGCTAGGTTCTCAACTATTCCTGTCTTCTACAGATCATAAATTAGCTATGAAGATGTAGTTCTATTTTCCCACAGGAAAGGCAATTTCATGAAAAAAATCTAAAGCATGGATGAAAAGATTCTATATTTAGAATTACACTGAGGACTTACTATGACCTTCAGAGAATAGAAACTAAAAGGCTCAATTTTTACATACAAAAGAGCTGTTCAGTAAAACCTGAAATTAAAAAAAGTGTTTAGAACACCTGCTTTCCATGCATTTGCCTTTTTTGAACAAAATTTTTTAAAAGTTAAGCTTGATTGAAACATGCATTAATGTGACACATTAAATCTGGTTAACAAAGTAGTAGTGATTACCAATCTCATAAACATAAGAAGCTTGGTCACGCTTCTGCAAATGAGCTACCATATTTTAGCTATAGGCAGCAATTTCTGTACAGTTCTTGGGGCTAGGAGGGCAAATCGAAACCTTTATCCATCTCTACGCAAACACCATATTCACCTCACTAATACATGTTGTTACATAAGAAGCAACCATCAACATGACCAAACAGCGCTTTGACTATCCCATTTTTATGCCTTTCATTAGATTTCTGAGGGTTCTGTTTACATATTACTCAAATCCTCTCTACACTTTCAGTTTGGAAGATTCACTGAGCTTTCCCCTATCTGGCTTCCATGGAAATGAATCCTAATTTATAAGGCAAAAGCTATTCAGAAGTGCCTCTTGGGACTCAGATTTAGGAGTCATACCTGCCTCACTGCCCCCCAAAATCCTTTACTACAATAGAACCATTATTGATGTGTCTTTCACAAGCTTCTTGAAAATCTTCCAGTGCATCTTCTTCAACTATTGTGTCCTGCAAGATCACCTGTGCACAGAGAGCCTGTTAGATTTCTGAATGTTCAGGGGTAGGACCTATCTCCTATTATCCATATATATGGTGCCTACCATAAAATGGACCTGTCTGAGGCCTCAGGATGCTTTTGTAATACAAATACTATTAATACATTATATGTTGACGCTCAGAATGGGTTTGGAATGTGCTCTGGCAGTAAGCCTGGCTCCCTCTAGCCACAAATAGCTAAACATCATGTCATTCTTTGCTCTACTTTTCAGATAACCTTTTTTCTCAATGCATGAAATTGTGCATAAACAAATGTTGCATATTGTGGCTGCCCAACTAATCCTATTGTTGCCCAATTACAGAGTCCTAGGGAAAAGGTCTAGCTAGTTTGTTAGTAGACACCATTCCTGCAGATGAAGATGATTGTAAAAATGAGCTTTGGATAGGTGTAAGGTGGGTAACACAAAATCACTTCCTTACTACCTAACATGATAATATATCTCAGCTATAAAACGCAATAGCAAGCAATGCAAAGATTTTAAAAAGCAAGCAGGGTTCAATTATATGAAATCTCACAATATCTACATAATATCTGTAGTTATATAGCACCTTTATCTTAGTATCATAAGGAGCATTACAAAGCTGGGGAAGTATCACTATCCATGTTTTATAGATGGGGAAACTGAGGCACTGGGACTCTAAAGGTCATACATTGAGGCCAAGTCAATGTTACAAACTTACGTCAGTAAAACTATGTAAAAAAAATCCATACCCCTGAGTGATACAGTTATACCTACCTAAACCCTGGTGTGGACAGCACTATGTCAGCAGGAGGGCTTCTCCTATTGACATAGCTACTGTTTCTTGCAGAGGTGGATTAACTATACTGACAGGACGTGCTCTCCCGTCAGCGTAGTAGCACCTTCACTGAAGCACTACCGTGCACCACTGCCGCGTTTTAAGCATAGATCTGCCCTGAGTAAATAGTAAGAAAAGAATATACACATCCTCACCCCTAGTCCTTCACTCTAACCACCTAATCAACTTGCTTCCCTCTGCACTCCACAACTAAACTAACTAAAATATTATCTTATATGAAGAATGCAGCAGGGATGTTTTTGTCGTGCCTGCATGATCCTCCATCAATCTCCATTACAAACATAATAAATCATTACAGTGCACTCCACTAAAACTCTGCAGGAATAATGAGCACATTTTAAGTTTTTTTAATGCTATTAGTACAGTAGTTTACATTTAATACAGTAACATTACCTTGACGGGAGTATTGTAAGTCACTGAAGGATGATTATAGATTCTGAACCCAGCCCATATAGGAAGACAAATATATGGTACATTTAAGAAAGAAGCAGGACACATTCTTGCTCCATATTTACCTATTAAAAGAAATAATCATAAAACATGTGAAGAATTAGTATACTAACTCTATATGGAGAAAATTACAGCATATCTGATGGAGCATCCGCACCAAACAGCTACGATAATGCTGGATGTAAAAAGCTTTTTAAATGCTGGCAACCCAGCATACAAATCTGGTGGAAAAGCCTGTGCTGGCAAATGGAAGAGCCACACACAAGCAGGTAACAACTAGATACAGTATGGTGTGTTGTTTCAAAGATGAGATTTTCTGTTTGTGACAGCCAGCTGCCTCAGCCACTGACCTCTTTTCTACATACCCACAGGGACGGAAGAGCTCCGAACGCTGTTAATACAACCTGCTCTAGATAAAGGCATCTTCCACAAAAGAAAAACTGACACTTTTAAGTCTGATATTATGCTCTGCTTACTAAATCTTGGTTTCTAATGCAGGGCAGTGACAATGCTTGGGAAAAGGGTCACACACAAAAAAACCCAAAAAATTCTGGCCCAGATCCTCAACTGCTATAAATCAGGGGAGACTGTGCTTTTTATATCAGCTGAGGATCTGGTCAAAATCAGTGTCAGAGAGGACTCCCTGAAAATCAGAGATCTTGAGCTTGTATAGGAGAGAGGTGAAGAGCTTCTGTGTGGACTCATCAGGCTGAACCATGAATGCTCCATCCTAGCTATAAATACCTGGGCTGAGATTTTCAAAGCCAACTAATGGTTGTAAACACGTTAACATTAATTTATGGCCGTAGTGTGTCTAACTTCCCTCTCCCCCCTTCATCTTTGAAAAATCATAATGTTAGGCTTTTTGCCAGAAGGAAATCATTTATTTATGTAAGAAAAGTTTAAAGCACTTCAAGTTAACAATTGCATGACATAAACATGATTTAATAACAACTTCTCAAGCCCCAGCAGCTGTAAATTCATTTGTCCAAAAGTGCCTTTGGATGCCTTTTGCCTGACCCTTGACATCTGTACTGTAAAGCAACAAGTGCGCTTTATGCTAATCCGTAAATGAACAATTTTTAAACACTAATAACAAACAGATATAGTTGTTTTCTCATATCCCAAAATAAACCACATTAAGTCAATGAGAACCTTTTATTGACTTGTGTGCTTTGGATCAGGGCCTTATTGCCGATAGCAAAATAAGATGATAAACTTTTTCTTGTCGGCATGGAATGGTAAATCCACACACTTCCCAAAGTAAAAATAGTCCTTGGTATCTAGTTAACTGATCTGTTTATATTCCTGAAGTCCCTCCAAAGTTATATTAAAGTAAGGAGCAATATACTATATTTTGGTTATGAGACCAGGTAGCCTTATTTTTTATTAACCCCGTATAGGAAGTAGAAAACAAAACAATTTTCATGCTTCACATGGGAAAGTTGGTTATATGAATTATCTCCTTACCCACAATAGTTCCAGGCATAAAGACAATAATGCTCATGACAATGGATCCTAACCAGTATAGGCCAATGGTTCTGTAACTTTCTCTGAAAAAGAAATAATTGATTTAATGCACTATCCCTAGAACACTACTGTCAAAAACTGCCCTCAGAGATTATACTGATTTCTGCTGGTAGCATCTTAAGAGAGAAGGCTGAGATCCTCAAAGGTATTTAGGTGCCTAACACCCTTTGAAGATCTGGGCCTACTGTGGTTGTGAATGGTGGACACAGAGGAGTGATAGAAACAAACCTATGGGGGGAAACTCTGCATTTTTGTGTATAAACAAGGTAATTATATGAGCAGTATGGGATTGTATGTTTAATTCCCTGTTTTGTGGGAGGTGTTACTCATAGAAGGGCTGAGTGGGCACCTGTTGCACAAGGCTTTGAAAATAATTTGCTTTAATGCTTGTGTTACCAGAAGGTTGATGTTTCAAAACAGTATATTTTGAAATATTTTCCCCTACAATGTGCATTTAAATAATTATTTTATTTAACTCTTTCCACAAGAGTAAGCAACATAAGACTCCTATATTCCAGAAATTATTACTACCTCTTTATCTACACAGTACTTCCAGGTAGAAATGAAAGAAAGAAGACCATGTAGTCTTGACCAAGACACTGTTCTGCTCTCTTGAAATAATGATACCATGGAGTCTGAACATGCATTCTCTTTAGGATTTCCACTTTCTGGTTAGCTAATATAAATTGTACAAATGCTCTGTGTTTTGCTCTGTACAGTAAATCTTCCAGATAAAAGTCATGGTAAAATTTTTGTTCTGCTGCCTACATCAAGTTCAGCAATAATTAATAAAACCAACACCATCAACAAAACACTCATTAATTAAACTAATTAACTGTGTTCATTTTGAATTATAGTGCAAAGGCGAGAGAACCCAGGTTCTTTATTGGCTCCCCCTTGTGCATCTGAAACAAGAGGCCAAATCCAGTTGTGATCTAACTCTGCAGAGAGTAATGGAATTTCAGTAGGGCTTAATTTGGCCCAAGGAATTTACACAGCACAAAATACTATTTAAAAAACTCAAACATCTAAACATTGCAAAACCACAGGAAATGAATTTCCTTTGTGGCTTATACAGGGGTGTGGAAAGCTAAACAAATGGTACACAAACATCAGACTGACTTACTCCCAGGAAATAGCTGCCACCATTAAGAGATACATCAGATAATGCACAGAGCCATCCCAATAGCAGATCACATGGCCATAAGCAGTGTTCAGATGAGGTTCGCCCTAAAGAAAATGGATTTTAAAACAGTGCAATGGCAAAGGAGATTCAATAAACCTTAGAAGTGTATTAAGAATAGCAGGTAAACAGGCTGGAGTAAAGTGACTGGTGTTCATTCAGTCTAGGGATCCATTTTTTCCTGGCTGTCAACTCTCATGTTAGCCTTTTTCCAGTCACCCGGGACCTCGCCCGATCGCCATGAGTTTTCAAAGATAATGGCCAATGGCTCTGCAATCACATCCACCAACTCCTTTAGCACCCTCGGATGCAGTGCATCCGGCCCCATGGACTTGTGCTTGTCCAGCTTTTCTAAACAGTCCTGAACCACTTCTTTTTCCACAGAGGGCTGGTCACCTCCTCCCCATACTGTGCAGCCCAGTGCAGTAGTCTGGGAGCTGACCTTGTTCGTGAAGACAGAGGAAAAAAAGCATTAAGTACCTTAGCTTTTTCCACATCCTCTGTCACTAGGTTGCCTCCCCCATTCAGTAAGGGTCCCGCACTTTCCCTGACCTTCTTCTTCTTGCTAGCATACCTGTAGAAATCCTTCTTGTTACTCTTAACATCCCTTGCTAGCTGCAACTCCAAGTGTGATTTGGCCTTCCTGATTTCACTCCTGCATGCCTGAGCAATATTTGTCCCTCCCTGGTCATTTGTCCAATCTTCCACTTCTTGTAAGCTTCTTTTTTGTGTTTAAGATAAGCAAGGATTTCACTGTTAAGACAGGCTGGTTGCCTGCCATATTTACTATTCTTTCTACACATTGGGATGATTTGTTCCTGCAATCTCAATAAGGATTCTTTAAAATACAGCCAGCTCTCCTGGACTCCTTTAAAAAAGGGAAAAAGGAGGATCTGGGAAACTACAGGCCAGTCAGCCTCACCTCAGTCCCTGGAAAAATCATGAAGCAGGTCCTCAAGGAATCAATTCTGAAGCACTTTGAGGAGAGGAAAGTGATCAGGAACAGTCAGCAGGGATTCACCAAGGGGAAGTCGTGCCTAACTAATTTAATTGCCTTCTATGATGAGATAAGTGGCTCTGTGGATGAGGGGAAAGCAGTGGATGTGTTATTCCTTGACTTTAGCAAAGCTTTTGATGATGTCTCCCACAGTATTCTTGCCAGCAAGTTAAAGAAGTATGGGCTGGATGAATGGACTATAAGGTGGATAGAAAGCTGGCTAGATCATCAGGCTCAACGGGTAGTGATCAATGGCTCCATGTCTAGTGGGCAGCCGGTATCAAGTGGAGTGCCCCAAGGGTCGGTCCTGGGGCCGGTTTTATTCAATATCTTCATTAATGATCTGGAGCAGAGATGGGAAAACTATGGCCCGTGGGCCACATCCAGCCTGCGGGACCATCCTGCCTGGTCCCTGAGCTCCTGACCCCGGAGGCTAGCCCCCGGCCCCTCCCCTGCTGTTCCCCTCCCCCGCAGCCTCAGCTCACTTGCTCCGCCGCCAGCGCAATGCTCTGGGTGGCAGGGCTGTGAGCTCCTGGGGCAGCACAGCTGCAGAGCCGGGCCTGACCCAGTGCTCTGAGCTGCATGGTGGTGGTTGTGGGGGCGGTGGCGGTGGCATGGCCCAGCTCCAGGCGGCTGGTGCGGCTGTAGCACTGCCAGCCACTGGTGCTCCAGGCAATGAGGTAAGGGGGCAGGGAGCAGGGGGGGTTGGATAGAGGGCAGGGGAGTTCGGGGTGGTGGTCAGGGGGCAGGGGTGTGGATAGGGTCGGCGTGGGGGAAATAGGGGGTTGAATGGGGGCAGGGGTCCTCGGAGGCTAGTCAGGAAGGAGGGGGGTTTGGATGGTGTGGCGGGGGGCAGTCAGGATCAGGTGTTCCTGGGGCAATCAGGGGACAGGGAGCAGGGGCAGGTGGATGGGGTAGGGGTCCCGGGGGGCCATCAGGAATGAGACCAGGGGTTGGATGGGGCGGCAGGAGGCAGTCAGGGGCGGGAGTTTGGGGGCGCTCAGGGGACAGGGAGTGGGGGTGTGTGGATGGGGCAGGGGTCCGGGGGGGCGTCTGGGAACAGGGGGGGTTGGATGGGGCAGGAGTCCTGGGGGGGGGCAGATAGCAGGTGGGGGCCGGGCCACGACCCCTGCCCCTAACTGGCCCTCCATACAATTTCCGAAACCAGATGCTGCCCTCAGACCAAAAAGTTTGCCCGCCCCTGATCTGGAGGATGGCGTGGATTGCGCCCTCAGCAAGTTTGCAGATGACACTAAACTGGGAGGAGTGGTAGATACGCTGGAGGATAGGGATAGGATACAGAGGGACTTAGACAAATTAGAGGATTGGGCGAAAAGAAATCTGATGAGGTTCAGCAAGGACAAGTGCACTGCAAAGACTAGGGACCAAGCGGCTAGGCAGCAGTTCTGCCGAAAAGGACCTAGGGGTTACAGTAGATGAGAAGCTGGATATGAGTCAACAGTGTGCCCTTGTTGCCAAGAAGGCTAACGGCATTTTGGGCTGTATAAGTAGAAGCATTGCCAGCAGATCGAGGGACATGATCATTCCCCTCTATTCGGCATTGGTGAGGCCTCATCTGGAGTACTGTGTCCAGTTTTGGGCCCCACACTACAAGAAGGATGTGGAAAAATTGGAAAGAGTCCAGCAAAGGGCAACAAAAATTATTAGGGGGCTGGAGACATGACTTATGAGGAGAAGCTGAGGGAACTGGGATTATTTAGTCTGCAGAAGAGAAGAATGAGGGTGGATTTGATAGCTGCTTTCAACTACCTGAAAGGGGGTTCCAAAGAGGATGGATCTAGACTGTTCTCAGTGGTGC